GATACAAATCTTTTCCGTGACCCTTATAGTTTGGTAATTTAGTCGATCACCTAAAGAAGTCACCTATTCAGCGCCGCCCCAAGTTAATGCTGCCACTTACGACTGGCAGACGAGTGATTTTATTATTAAGGATCCTCAGATCCTTTATAGTTTTGTATTGTCGTCCGTCCGTCCGTCCGTCCGTCCGTCCGTGTGCGCTCTAACTCTTTTTAAAAGTGGCCGATTGTGTTGAAATTTGGTATACGGATACGTTGGACATTAAGAACGGACGCTATTGATTTTCAGGAAGCTGGTTCAACAGGAACAGAAGTTATACGACTTCGAGTGAATCGGGAACAGGAAAAACTGCGAACTCAATATAATAAAAATTAACATATTTCATTCCCTAGGTCATGTATCGAGTTCGGACTTTCGCTAGATTTATTCCCTATGACTCTTAGATGTGTAACAATTCAATATAACTCTTCTCTGTGGTCTCGGTCAAAAGTTTTAGAGCAAAATGTACCCAAAATTATTCTTTACACATGAATTTAGAGTTGTAAAAGCTTTCAAACGCATTATCTTGATGCTGAAAGAGTTGATAACGTGAACGTTTGATAACCGCATGTGTGTGATTCAAAAATGTTAAATTATTTTTCTGAGGCCACATGGATTTTGATCAAAATATGTCAAAATCGTTAATTATGCACCAAGATCGTTGGGAAAAAGACTACGCGCATTATCTCAATGCCCAAGACATAAATTTGATGCATTTTTGGCGACCACGTGGATTTTGATCAAAACATGTCAAAATCGTTATTTATGCACCAAGATCGTTGGGAAAAGACTAGGCGCATTACCTCAATGCCCAAGACATGAATTTGATGCATTTTTGGCGACCACGTGGATTTTGATCAAAACATGTCAAAATCGTTATTTATGCACCAAGATCATTGGGAAAAAAACTAGGCGCATTATCTCAATGCCCAAGACATGAATTTGATGAATTTTTGGCGAAAACGTGGATTTTGATCAAAACATGTCAAAATCGTTATTTGTGCACCAAGATCGTTGGAAAAAAGATCAAGAGCATTATCTCAATGATCTAAACATGAATTTGATCTATTTTTATGGACCACATGGATTTTGATCAAAACATGTCAAAATCGTTATTTATGCACCAAGATCGTTGGGAAAAAAAACCAAGAGCATTATCTCAAAGCCCAAGACATGAATTTGATGCATTTTTGTTAACTATAAAATGTATTTTGTAAGATTAAAATAAATTGTCGTTAAAAGTGATTGTAATACTGAGGATCCTTCGATATTTCGTTGTATCGGTTTATTAGTTTTCAACCTACTTTCAGCCTGTATTGTCGAATTTTTTGTCGCTAATGGTTTAGTTACTATGTACGCTGCCTCCCGGTCTATTAGAACAGTTTCTCGACTTCCCAAAATAAATTCTATTGTGCTTTTAGTTTCGCGCGAAATTTTTAGAAAAATGAAGCCATTGTCTGTGCTTTCATTCATAGCTGGCAATCTGACATTTGTTGTAAAATAATTTGATCCCATGAAACGAGAATTATTATCCTTGTGTTTATAGAAGAATGCGAATTGCAAGCAATATTCGCCAAATGGCTGCCGATCCCCTTCTTCCATTATAGAAGAGGTAGGTTGTTCTGTTTGCTTAGTGGTGCGATCGTACGTAGGGAATAATACGAGGCTCTTGAGAAACCTCAATGCCATCGCACTCCCTTATAAACTATAAATAGAAAGCGGATTGGAAGCTGCTTTAAGATGCAAAACGCGTTTTCGTGCATTTATTCATGCACTAGATTGATGTAACTTGTATCGCTAATTAATAAGTGATGAAATTACTGAGTGCAATATCTTCCTCACGTTCACGTAGTCCTGTTTGTGTAGTTAAACTTGGTTTTAATTGAAGTATTATAAAGACAGGTATCTAATAAGGCAGGAAAGATTGAAAATTTCGATACTATCGGCCGTTGTAACGGATGGTATGACCTTGCTCTAACACAATTTGTCAGGATGATTGAAATAGCTTCCTGAAATAGATACATGTCCTTAGAACTATTGCGGCAATTAATCACTCTTGCAATTTCATTTCACGCAAACTTTCACCACACATTACTACGAAAGTTTCTTACTCCGTCCAATTACTCAATGCCTTGATGGCTTCATATAGTGAAAAAATTCGGCGCGTCGATTTATAAATTGAATTGAATAAATAATTTTCCCTGGACATTAAACAAAAATTAAAACTGCTCCATTACTCCATTACTAACCGGAAAATTTGAATGTGTTTGTTTATTCAACAATATCGAACCACGTAAAACGCGGGTAAACAAGAAGGGTTTATTTTTGATTGAACCGTTGTCAAATTACCATCTAGTATTGCTACTTTATAAACAAACAAAAAGTGAAACGTTGATGCATCTATATTGGGGTAAAAATAAATGTTCTTGAAAGAATTTTCGGATGGAACAATTTGTTTCGCAAAAATCAAACACATTTGAAAACAGGGCAATTTATCTATGTCCTCGTAACAATGGAACTTTATCCTGGCACGCAAAAACGAAAACTGGAATTTTCTTTGTACACGTTTCCTCATGAATTGACTTTAAGATGCGTAATTTGTAATAAAAAGGTATTATTTTGAACGTTTGATATGCATAAAGTACTAGTCACAAGCTTTCGTTTTACGACAGCGAAAGTTATTGCATTCCTTTCGTCTTGTCCTTTTTTTTATCTGCGCGAGAATTAACGATTTGAATCTTTACAAATTAATTCGTGGAGTAAAAACATTCTGGGATTTTATGCGCTAAATTCGTCTTCCAGTGTCTCTTTATAGCTACCGGTCTTGACTATTCAGCAAGAATGTTAAAAAATATGGGGTTGTAATAAAATAAATTTTAATACTACGGGCCCCACATCATTCGGTATCAAGCACATAGGACCACCGTTACAAATGTGCTGTTGGCTGTTGTAATGGCACTAGCGATTTTGTGGTTTGATAAAAATTGCTTCGATCAAGCTTCTGTTCCTTTTCAATTCTAATATTCGCGTTCCCCTCGCAAACGGTCGGGTAGAACCATCTAAAAAATTAAGGGTTTAAAAGGCACGCAATCTTTTTTGTTGTCTCGTTTTACTTCGCTTAATTTGTTGCGTAATTTTTCCAAGTTCGTATATGTTTTACTCTCGTTCTTCTTACAGTAACCAATGCACGTATGTCACACGACAGCGCCATTAATCACACAGGAAAAGCCACCGTCGTATTCTCAGGGGTTAGCTACTGGCTCCCGCTTACTGCAGATTCATAGATATCAATAAAAGAGAAAAATCCACGCCAAATTTCTTTTTTTCGTTATTTTTTATTATGGTGCTCTACCGAAGAAAAAAATTGCGCTGGATATGAGACCACGTTCATTTTAATGTTCTTTCGCCGTGTAAGTTCTATTGTTATGAATCACGACATTTCTAGAACAAATCTCAACTAACTTTTCTCCATTTTAGGACAACGTAAAAGTTATGGAGAGTTAGATTTTTCATTTGACTGGCATTTTAGTTCTCATACATTACATTAGTTGATGGATCAAAATTTGAGAACAATTTTATTTTATGTACCAAATTCGTGGCCGAAAAGATGTTGTATCGATCTGCAGGAACGAGAGGGTTGGAAAGGTTTGTGAACATGGAGTATTGAAATCGAAATTTCAAACTATTCAATAGTTTTTTCATGGCCCTTAAATATAAGTTCATTAGCCAGCAGCTCATGTGTTTATTTGCACCTAGTCTCGAAACTGATCTAAGGATATTCCCATCTCTGCCACAAATGAAAAATTCACCTCAACTCAGGTTTGAACACCCGACTTCCGGTTTTGTAGCCCAACGCTCTACCGCTGAGCCGATTATGCCCTTTTGTTTAACCGTGGTAATTTTCGTAACATCATCACCCAACCCCTGTTCACAATTAAAACACTCACCCGGATCAAGACATGCCGAAATGCCATTGACGTTTTATACTAATTACTATAATTATGTTATTCACAATTCAACTTAGCTACTCTCATAGGCTCCCATCCAATAAAAATTGAGCCTCCATTATTTCCCTATCTTATGCCGACACACTTCGTCCTCATTAATCAAACTGCAAATCAATGAAAAAAAACTATCACTTTCAAAACTAGTTGTACAAATAACTATTTAATAAACAAATCCACGAAAATCGATCCAAAATGGATTTGATTCTGATTAATTGGGAACAAAACCAATTAACCGATTTGGAAAAAAATATCTAATAAGAAATCTGTGTCTGTATCTAGCGCATTTAAAACGGCATTAACTAATAAAAGCGTCACGATTGCTTTTTCTCGTGTGGCCTTTCCAACAAACCCCAATTTCCAACACACTGGAGAGAGTGTTCACGTATATAATAAAATTCCTAATTTAAAGTGTTGCAACAGTGAATTTATTAATAGCGAATTGAATATCTTTCATTTAATTTTAATTTTCGTAATTAATTTCGAGACAATTTCACCGCTTCATTCTTAACGCTTTTATTATTCAATTTGAATTGAGCCTCGTTATTAATACTTGAATTGAAAACATTGTGGTACAGTCAACCGTTTAACGACAAATAAATTTGTTGTAAAATTGCACTCGTTGATGTAGATAGGTACATCCTAATTAATGAATGAAAACAATTCAAATGCCGCAGACATCTTTTGTATAATTTACAAGGCGTTTATCTCAAATTCAACTAATCGCCAAAAGATGTCAAGCAAATAATCTTTAAATTTATAATAAATGAGCAAACAAACAATTTTTTAAAACAACATAAAAAAGCGTCAAGAATTGACAATATCGAATCATGACTAAATTATTATGCGAAGTTCTATTTGAGCAGCTTTTGCAGCAAGTGGAAAGGTTTGCAACGCAATTTTACTCTTATTTTATTTAGATTTTTTGGAATAATTATAACCCCTACGTTTTTATTACAGGTGCGGAGGACGATATGAACCACTTCTTGGGGAATGACACTCACACGGACTACTTTCGGCTGGTGTTACGCGATGGAGAGTCGTTGTTGGTGGGTGGAAGGTGAGTGTTTTCCCCTAAATGAGGGTATTTTCTCATCCTTGTACTTTCCACCGGATATTGTTCCGTGATGGTCTCGTGCCACTTTGATGTTTGTTCTTAATGACTTTGACCACACGACTGGAATTTATCGAAAACCTTTTACTGTTACTCGCCAACGCTTTTGTCGTTAAAATTGCAGTAAACGCCATTTTGCGCGCAAATGCATTTATTACTTGGAACTCTTCATTTATGTGTACAAATAAAAAAACGCGCGCGCTCACTCATAAAAAAGCGTTACTTCCGATTGATTGGCGGAAAAGTGTCGAACTTTCAGTTTACTGGCATCTTTTACACTTTCCTAAGTGCAAGACCCCCGTCAATAGAACTAGGAAGTGGCTAATAAACCAATTTAGCTTGTTGTACTGCGATCTAGTTTTATTATGTGAAGATGCATATTTTACGCCATTCCAATGCATTTACAAAACGACCATTATCATATGATGATTTTGACGTTTATGCTTTACAAACTCGCACATCACGTTACAAAACTCCCATAATTTTTATTCAAACGATGCGCTTTAGCTGTATGAAATAGTTATTAGAGTAATAGCTATCAGTTGCATGACAGAAGTTCATTTTATATAAAGCAGTTTCTACAATAACAATTACTGCTCCTATCAGTATTTGCCGTTTTATTTAATAGGTGTAATTATTTTGTTTTGCTGAAAATGAGAATTCTTTATTAAATGCGCTCGGTTGACCTGGTTTGAGGAACTTATTTCCATTATTTGCGTTTCAAACTTAAATTTCCACAATTTAACTTTGCGAAAACTTGCTGTACCACGACAAAGTTTATCCATGCTATACTCGAATTTAGACACTGTAGTTTTTCAACTATACCCGAAAATTGACTATATAGTGAATTAACCCTCCTTGGCACTTTCAAAGGATATTATAACGCCGATATCTTTCTCTTACTTCAGATTTGTTGTGAGTTTATTGCTGTGTGTAATGGTATGCGGTCAAAATACAACCCAACAGACCGCAAATAAAAAAACTTAGTTTTGAAATTTGGCCAAAATGTTCTTTGGACCTTGCCCCTTCAACATATCCAAAAGCCCCATATGTGGGGGGTGCGCAACAGGCCGCCATTTTGATTGATATGCTCCTTTTTTCGGTTTTTCCTCAATATCTGGAAAACTATCGACTTTTTCATAACCACTTATATTTACAAAATGAAAGCTCATTAAATTTTCTAGAAAAAATGTATAATAAAATTTTTCTGAATTTAACCATTTGAGAGGTATGCAGGGTCTTTCTTTTAAAGAGACAACCTTATATAAGAAAGTAGAAAAGATACGCTTGTTAAAATTTACACACAAAGGTTCTCGACCATGAACTACTTTTTTGAAATAGTGACACCTTTCTAAATCTTTCGGTTTAACCAGAAATAGGTATCAACTTCCTTATTTTAAATAGCACCCCCAATTTTGGGGGTACCTATAAAAAATACTGGTTTATAGCAAAGATGATTTTTCACACATAAATTACAGAATCTTTTTGAAAGAAAAACTCGCTTTTTTCAAATGGAATTTTCCTTTTTTTATTTCAGATATTAAATCTAGACAAAATTTAGATGCGATTGATATGACGTCCTATACCTAAAATTGGTGATTTTCAAGTTATTTACATTTTTTTAACAAAGTAATTTTTAATAAAGATTATGATTGCCCTGAACAACATAAATACCGTTGGCAGGGGAATTACAACTTAGTTAACTGTCTATATGTACACAAATTAAAGAAATCATTAAGAGACGCTTTTAACCCTATTCCCATTTTCTTCCAAACATTTTTGGACTCTTCTGGAGACTTCTCTTCCTGTTGCTGCTCTGATTTGATCCGACCGGTGTTAAGGATCGGAAGGCATTATAGACTCGTTCTATCTTTGTAGACTACGTGTATAATGTGCCCCCACAAAAAAGTCCAAAGGCGCCAGATCCGGAAATCTATGGGGCCACATGAGTGAGCCATTATTGCCAAGCCACCGATCTTCAAGCAACATCGGAAATTTTTTAATACGGCGTGCAATGTTTTCCTGGTTGGCCTTCTTATTGTGGGACTCACGCATTGAATAAATCTAAAGTACGATTCACTTTCTTATGGCATTCTCCATAAATTATTATTAAGGTCAAGTAATCTTCGTTAGAAAAATTAGCCATAATTTAAAACATAAAACACTACTGCCTGGTTTGACAGATTTTATTCATTGGAATTTTCATGGCAATCAGGATTTGTATAAAAAATACTAAGAAAAATCTAAATAACTTGAAAATTATCAATTGTAGGTATAGGACAATGCTATATCAATCGAAAGAATGTTGTCTAGAATTAATATCTGATCTAAAAAAAGGGGCGTTCCATTAAAAAGTCCGAAGTTTTTTGAAAAACTGAAATAGCATTATTTTAAGTTTCGAAGACTGTATACTATTATGATTATTCGAATAACCTGAATTTTTTATACGTCCCCCCAAAATTTCATCATTTTACGTCTAATAGTCACTGAAATATAAAGCTTCAAAGTACGCGCCTTAACTGTTAAATTTTTTCTTAAAATACAAATATCTTCAAAACAGTCAAAGATGGCCAGAGATATTGTTTAATAAACCAACCTTAATTTTCAAAAGGGAATCTAATTGTGAAATCAAAAATGGGGGTTGCCATTTAAAATAAGGAAAAGGAAAAATGTTGGACGTGGGAAGATCTCGAGGATCGGTTGTATCGGATTTTTAAAGCGGAAAGCCCACAATGTGCTCTCATTTTAAGATTGGACTTTAAATTTAGCAGTTTTGTCCCATTTTAACCAACGTGACACAATCCTATTGTGAGGAGTGAAAAGTGGACACGTCGTTCCAGATCAGGTACAGGTATTTTACTATGTTGTTTTTTATTCAGAAATGGTTAACATAAATGTACACCCATTTCTTTGGTAAACGGTGGTTAAAATGCATGACGCAAAACACTTATGTTTCTGATCGATAAAAAGTCAAAAATGAATCATCTCATTCGCCAGAAGTGGAGTCCACAATTTACAAACATTAAAATCAATGAAGGGTTAACGATAAAGTTCCAAGTCCTAAAAAGTTCTTCTTGTTTATACATCCACTGACGCCATTTTAAAAATGCCTTATAATTAGCATTAATAATGCAGGAGTCACAAAGATAATAAGAACTTATCTGTTAAATTTGGTGACAGGCTGTAACTTGTATAATGAAGTGAAAATGACGCCGCATGTTATATAATATATCATAGCCGAGTTTTAGTTTGGAATGAATAGATAAGAAAATGTGTAAGTACTACATTGGTCATAAATTGCCCGCCCAAACAGTTCGGCTGCATGTTTCTCAAGTCCCTCTAATAAAACATAACACTCGACAAAAAACCCTTCTCTTAACATAATCGGCAGCTACAAATACGGCGCTCCTTTATAGGTCGTTACCCACATAATGCCACCTACAGTCTACGTCTATGAGACAAGAAGAATAATTTAAAACAGAAATTATATGGCGCAAGTAAATAGTAGATACAAATCCCACGTTTTATTATTATTTTTTGCTTCAATTAAAAGTTCGCTGCTCTTTGAACGATGTACTTATACGTTCTTCAAACTTGCGTAATGTCAAAACAGAGTTTGGTCTTTAATAAATTCTGTTTGCAAAATTTGGTTGGGACGCAGCATTTCCCGAAAGGCAAAAACAGGGGTGATTAAGGATGACATTGTAATTATGTAATCAGTAGGCAGGGGCATCTTATATTACCACGAAGTCCCCTAAACTTGTCCTAATTGCCATCTGCAGTCATTCGATAACTAGGACCATTTCAACAAGTTTCGAAACTTACAACCTGCACCCTCTCGCTTTACAAGGACTTTCGGTTAGCCACTATTAATTAATTAATTTAACAAACCGTGTAATTGAACGGGTAATTACTATTTAGACATAACCAATACGCCACGAATTGGAACTCTTTCTGCAGGCGTAAACGGCTTTGATTGAACTAGAAGGGAAAATCCTAAAATTACAAGCGCACGTAACGCAATATAATCCACCTGAGTATTAAACGTAGTGAAACGTATGTAGAACAATGCGAAATGTAGAATCTGAACGTTAAATGTACAATACAACCCTTACAGATGTACGGTTCCCAGATTTCTCCTAATTACTAATTAATTTAACGAGAAACCGCTGCAAACCGTTTCTCATTTGAAACAAAACTTGTTCGTAAACACCCTCGAATGCCACATTACGAGGAAGTCATTTATTAATTAATATTTGTATTAAGCGCGCTAAGAAAAAAAAACCGTTTGATCGAGATCCTGAAACGGTTGGAAAATTTTGCCAACGTTTTTTAAACGTAAATAATGGACGTTAAACACTAACAAACGTACCGACATTAAAATAAATCTCTTTCCAAATAAATTTTCAAGGAAAGCCGTTCAGATTTATTAAACCTTTACGCTTAACATCTTTTAATGTTGCCAACGTTCGATTTCAATAAATATTTATTTCGCTTAAAGCCTTTTCGAGTACTCGTTTCCTTTTTGGTTGGCAACGAAGGGAGTTACTTGCAATGCATATCGGGATGGCACACCTATATCAAAATTCTAATAAAACTTTGCTTCACCCTATTTATGGCGGGCGTGTGAGGATTGGCTTGTAGGGAGTGCCAATTGTGAACATTGTCGTCTTGTAAAAATGCGTGACCGATTTACTGATAGAGATACTGACGAAAAGAGTAGTGAAGGCATAAGAATAAAGGGGAGCAATCAAATAGACGTTTTGAGAAAAATTTATGATGTGTAACAATCCTTGTAAATTGTTTAAGTCCCATAAATACAGACGTGCCAAGTTTTCGTATTTAGGAAGTGGTTGGTATACATTTTTGAGGTTGACTCATTACAGTTCACCTCAATAAAAATCAAGGTGTGAGTTACCACGAAAATTACCTACATGCAATACGGA